CCAGACCTCAGGTGATCCGCCCGCCTTGGCCTCCAAAGTGCTTGGATTACAGGCATGAGCCACCACACCCAGCCTAGTCTCAAGGTTTTTAACAATATCACTTATGCTGTTACAAAATTTTAAACCTGAAAATTTCAAGAAGGGTCAAATTTAGAATGCTTATGTATCTGGTGTGAGGGTTGAAAAAAATGTATTGGATGTAATGACATCCTGGTTCCCTCTACTGGGCTTAAATGAAATTACATATTTCTTTTTCTTTTTTTTTTTTTTTGAGAGGGAGTCTTCCTCTGTCACCCAGGCTGGAGTGCAGTGGCGCGATCTCGGCTCACTGCAACCTCCACCTCCTGGGTTCAAGTGATTCCTCCTGCCTCAGCCTCCCGTGTAGCTGGGATTACAGACACCCACCACCATGCCGAGCTAATTTTATATTTTTAGTAGAGACGGGGTTTTGCCATGTTGGCCAGGCTGGTCTCAACCTCCTGACCTCAGGTGACCTGCCTGCTTGGCCTCCTGAAGTGCTGAGATTACAGGCGTGAACCACCATACTGGCCTATATTTCTTCTTTTTAAGAAATTTAAAAATGGGTGGCGGGGGCGAGGGGCTTTCTAGTAAAAACTGGAATGCCTGCTAGACAAATTCTAAAAGAGATGTAACACTACCTGTTGCTTCTTAAAGCATCTATTTCCTTAGCATAGAATTGTTGGTCTCTCCTGCTTCAGCCTTCCAAAGTAGCGAGGACTACTGGTGCGTGCCATCATGCCTGGCTAAAAAAAAAAGAAATTTTTTTTGTAGAGACAAGTTATTGCTATGTTGCAGGCTGGTCATAAACTCCTGGCCTCTAGCGCTCTTCCCTCCTTCTCCTCCCAAAGTATTGGGATTGTAGGTGTGAGCCATTGCACCTGGCCAGCAATTTCTTTTGAAGAAAAAAAGTTGTTAATATTGAAATTCAGTTATGAAAAGTTATTAAAAATAATTCAGCCTTTATAGTATTTAAGAAATCTTTATGAAACCTAATGTCACTAAGATTTTTCACCTATGTTTTCTTCTATAACGTATATAGTTACTTAGGTTAGTTATTTTCTTCGCCATTGCCTTCAGTGTACTTACATTATTCTTTAACAGTCAGTTTTGTTTTTGTTTTTTGAGGTGGAGTTTTGCTCTTGTTGCCCAGGCTGGAGTGCAATGGCATGATCTTGGCTCACTGCAACCTTCACCTTCCAGGTTCAAGCGATTCTCCTCGCTCAGCCTCCCGAGTAGCTGAGATTACAGGCATGCGCCACTACGCCTGGCTAATTTTGTATTTTTAGTTGAGACAGGATTTTGTATTTTAGTTGAGACCATGTTGGTCAGGTTGGTCTCGAACTCCCAGCCTCAGGTGATCTGCCTGCCCCAGCCTCCCAAAGTCCTGGGATGACAGGCGTGAGCCACAGCGCCCGGCTGTTTCTGTTTGTAATTCATCCCTACACCTGTCCATCTTGGTTGGTTTTAAACATTATATAATATATAATATGTGTATATGTATGTGTATATAATAATATATATATATAATAATATATATATAATATATGTATATAATATGTACACACATACTTACATATATTTTAGTATGTAAACATTAACATTGTTCTAAAAGTCAGAACTGCATAGAAAAGTATACTCAGAGAAGTCTCACTTTCCCCTCATCCCATCTACACAGTTTTTATTTCCCCATTATTTCTACGTTTTACTCCTATGCTTTATAAATGTGTGGTAATTTTTATTGGATCCTGGACATTGTGAATATTATGTTTTTTGTGGATTTGGATTTTGTTGTCTTCCTTAGAAACTGTGGATGTTTGTTTTGTCAGAGTTAAATCACTTTTGGATCAGCTTGATCGTTTGAAGCTTTGCTATTAAGTATAAATCTAGAGTAGCCTCTTCTCTAGCATT